AGGTGAGTGTATACTGTATAAACTTTGGAAGTGCAGGAGCAATACTAATATTGTGAAAACTGAGTGTCATTGTTCACGACAACAAAATGCACCCATAACATTTTACCCATTAGTGACACAGCAGTAGGCAGCTACTACTGAGTGCCCAGGGAGTAGCACGTGGGAGTGGTACCTTGCTAGTCTGGGATTTGAACCAACAACCTTCCACTGACTAGCATGCTTCCTGAGCCATTAGGCCACCACTGCACTATTGCGTATGGAGACATTACTGTAATGACTTACCCATACACTCAGTAGTTTATTAAGCAGCCCTGCTTAGGTAGGACAGATAGGACCCCCCCCCCCTTTCTCCAAAACCACTGCACTTTGAGAGAAGCCTTTTGTGACAAATCATGGAACCAGATCCGGATCTTTCAAATACCTAGTTAACTTTCTCAGGTCAGCTTCACTGGAGTACTGATCACCTGTTACTAATTGTTTGGTATGTAAATATAAACTAGCTAGTCAGGTTTCCCCAGGGAAAGTCATTGTGAGTTTGTTCCTTATCAAGCAGCTTCCTTGCAGTGTCCATGTATACTGATCCTTTGCCTTGGGTTTACCATCTCAGATTCCTGAACTACAATTTTGGCTCTTTCTTTATCCTATTCGGGTTTTTGACTCTTGACTCTTGATTTTGAATGTGGTTTTGATTGAAACCTATGGCGCCTATGGTGCATGGACCCCCATCTCCTACTTTACAGAATACCTCATCTCCTCTGGTGGGTCAAGTGGACCTCCATGCAGTCATGACTCTCAGCGTGATGCTCCAGCTCCTGAAATCAATCATGACCACGTCTCTCCTGCTTAGATCTCTGGAGGTGGTGGCATTTCAAGCCCTTCCCAGAGCAGCGAATCCGCCACCATCCAGCAGCTTAAGGGCAGCTTAGCCTCTCGCAGGAATGCTGGATAAGTCTAGTGGAGACCCAGATGAGAGCTAAGGCTTGCTGATGCAGTGCTCTGTGTTTAACAAAAACATCCCAGGGAGGTTCATCAACAATACCAGCAAGATCCAGTCTGTGATGAGATCTCACTTCTCACTGGGAGGGCTCTGGATTGAGCCACCACCTTGTGGCAACAGAATAATCTGGTCCTCAAGTCCAAGATACAGTTTTACAAACACTTCCTGTGATCACCCTGCAGTGGGCGGCGATGCAGTTAACTGGCTTTGTGCACTGCAGCAGGTGATGATCAGCATCTGACTGCGCTTTGGAGTTCTGGACCATGGCGGCCAGCAATAGCTGGATCGAGCCAGCGCTCCTTATCACTTACCACCGGGACCTCAACCCAACTCTCTGAGCTGAACTGGCATGTCAAGGTGATGTCACCAGTCTGCACCAATATGTCCACTGTCCTTCTTCAGTGTCACTCATGGGATTGAACGATACCGTACCACATAGTAGAAACTACCCCCAGTCACGTCCTGTGGATGAAGCCTTAAACCAGTAAAGCACTTGCTTGGGTCAATAAGAACGTCCACTTTACCGGTGGCCTTTTTTTTTTCTGTAGAGAAGTACGGGGGCTTTTGTCCATGTTTAGATTCTCAATGGGACTGACGACATGGATAGACGTGTATCACTTTGATGCGACTTAGAAAAAATAAACAGTATCTGTAACCCCTCATCCCAGTGGTGTTAGAACAGGTTTAGTAGACAGAGACATTTAAAATACTGGGTCTGCAGAGTGCATATAATTTGTTTCAGATTTGCAAAGGAGACAAATGGAAAGCTGCATTTACCACCACTAGAGGGCAATAGAACACCAAGTTATGCCTTAAAGATTAGCTAACGCGCCAATGGTATTCTACTTCTTCATCAATAAAGTGTTCCCCGACGTGATTTATAGGTTTATAGTGGTCTGCATTGATGATACCCTGGTTTACTCCTTGGATCTTAATGATCCTGTTGGACTTGTGAAAGCAGTACTGCAGCGGCTCAGGCAGAATAAATAATTCATTAAGCTGGAGAAGTGCGACTTCCGCAGGGACACTGTGTCCTTCTTTGGGTAAATCCTCAGCCCTCAATGGGTAAAAATGGAGGTGGGGAAAGAAGATGGTCTGTGAACGGCCCCAACCAAAGACACGCAATGTTTCCTGGGTCTCGCAAACTTCTATAAGCGCTTCATAGGGAACGTCGGGGCCCTTCAGAATCGCTAACCTGGTCAGAACCGGCACATACGGCTTTCACTCAATTAAAGGGGCCCCCTCACCTCCACCCCCCTTCGGCAGCTAGACCCGCACCCACCTTTCGCCGTAGAGGTTGATGTATCCAGATAGGGGTGGATCTGTCCCAGAAACAGGGTGTCCTGGCTGAGCTTCACGAGCAGAATTATGGCGCAGGAAACCATGAATTTCCAGAACTTAAGACGGAATGGAGATACTGGCTGGGGGGGGGGCATTCCTGTATGCTGCTCACCAATCATTAAAACCTTAAGCAATAAGGGGAGTGGAGCAGCTCAATCACAGAGCATTACTGTTTGAACTATTTAATTTTATGCTGATATACCGGTTGGGTTCTAAAAACCTGACAGCTGATGCTCTGTCTCAGCGGTTTGAAGCACCTGTCATAGCCCCTAGTCCCAAGACCAGCCGCCCTCCTGCATTCTGCCACAAATATGCTGGTACATCATGGAAAAAATTCACAAAGCTCTGCAGAGGGAATCAACGCCAGTGGACATTTTCCCAAATTAGCGGTTGTCCCAGCCTCAATCTGTCTCTGTCTGCTTCAGACACACACCTCTCTTGGTTCCGGATTCCCCACTATCACACATACTACTGAATTGATCTTTTGTAAATTTTGGTGGCCATCAGCGCTCAGACAAAGACCCCTTGACAACTGCCTTGGGGTAAATTAGACCCCCCACCACCTTGGCACACATACAGTAGCACTGGACTTCATGACCAATCTGCCCCCCTCGCAGGGAAATTCTATGGTGTTAATCACAGTGGACTGCTTCTCTAAGATGTGATTCTGCTACCAGGGTCCCCCACGGCTGGTCCATTAGTGGAATGCCTTTATAATCGAGTATTTTGGCTGTTTGCCATTTCCAAGGTAATACAGTAATGTTGGACTGGGGTCATCAGTTCACCAGTGTCATGCGAGCCTATTGTTTGAGGCTGGGAGAGTCAGTTTGACTTTGTGGTATCACCCCAGTCCAATGGTTAAACAGAGCAGCTCAACCAGGTGATTGGTCGCTACCTGAGAGAGTATTGTGAGGCAAACCAGTAGGATTAGAGTCATGATCAGAGTATGGCCGAAACACTTTGATGCACTCTTCCAGTGCAGTTAACCCTGTTTCAATGCATCCTAGGTTACCAGTCCCCACTGTACCCCTCTGTACCGGAAGTGTGGTCAAGCGTGAAGGACGGCATAAAAATGGACAATGGACAACTAATTAGAACAGAAACGGCATAATTAGTATGATTCGAAACATAAGAAGACACTGTAGCAGGAATTAAATATTCACATGTGCAAAGGATAATTCATGTTGAGGAACAGCTGAATACTTACTAGATTTGCATAAACAAACCAAACATTAACATTTTTGGGAATTCAGTCAAGCTTGCAGGATTTCTCTTACAGTTTAATAATAAATGTACTGCAAACGGTTCCCACATCACTCTTCAAACATGATACGAATTAACCAGGATGGCTCCCTCAGAGTCTGTTCAGCTGCGACGCAGGTGAACCAGGGCGTGTCCCTCAAAGGCCCTTCAAAGGCGATGCAGAGATGCACGGTTTCAGAATATGTTGAGCCAAATAACTAAGACAATATAATGTTTGTATGACGACCACCGCCAGCGGAATGAGTGCCAGGCACAGCAGATACGATACAGAATAGATGACCTGAATCATTAACCCTGCAGCCAGCTAGTACCCGAGCAAGGAGCCCCCAGTGCAGAACATATTGCAGCAAGGCTCTTTAATGAGTATCTACTCACTAATATGAGAGTGAGTTTTGTACATAATTTATATATATATAAAAGATAAAGCAGGACCAAGTCACTTTCTAGCTACAAAGAACAACTACTACAGTTATATTTACACACAATTGCAAATGCCCATATTTATCTAGAAAAAAAAACTAAATGAATGAATTCCAGACCAATCTGTGTAGCTTTAATGAGAATGCTACAGATGTAAACTCTGTTACACCACTTAGCCTCCTTACCGTTTTAATCATTTTTTTGCAGCTTGCACTGTGTGATTTTGAATTAAACTGCTTATGGTGAATGTCAGTACTTTGTGAGTTGGGCAGTCTTTGAGTTGGGCAGTCTTTGAGTTGTGGGCTGTCTTTGAGTTGCGGGCTGTCTTTGAGTTGCGGGCTGTCTTTGAGTTGTGGGCTGTCTTCTGTCTGGTTGCGGGTGGCTCTCTGTGCCTTGATCAAATGATGCATGGAAGACTTCAGACTACGAGAGAATCTCCTGTGGCGTATCCAGCTGTGTTTAATTGTTCCTGTTGGTCCCAAAGCTCCTCCAGGGAACCACATTTGTATTTAGTTGTCCTGTGTAGCATGACTGATGATCTAGATCCTTCTGCCTATGAGATCAGTTCCAGTGCAGACGATATGTAACAATCCTTAAATGGTCATTTGATTTTCATATTTGTGTTCCTCTGTATGACAGTATGACATCGCTTGTCATCTTTTCCAGCATTCATCTGAGGTCTACCAGTGCTTTTTTTTTCTATGTTATGCATTCCACCTGCCACATGGGGGTGCTGTGACTCAGAGAATGAAGTACAGTATGTTAAGGTTGTCGCTATAGAGTTCAGCTCTCTGATGGTGTGACACAAATAAACTCTAAAATTTAGGATCTTGCATTCAACAGGATATTTAACGATAAAATACTAATATATTTAACTGAGATAGGTACGAATGGTGCTTCTCATGCAAAAGACAGTAATCTGTCAAATGTCCTATTACATGCTGTTCTCCCAGACACAAAGTCCAATTCTTTGAATATGAAACATTGTCCAGAGGTCCATAGTTGAAAGCAAATCACATCTGACTAATGTGCTCTCTGGAGGTGTCATTACCATTGACGGGTACTTTTGAGGCCCCTGGCTGCATCTCCAGTGCCGCATCTGAGTCGTCCAACTCCTGAGCGCCCAGCGTATTGCTGTCACCATTTTGGCAGCTGCTGTTCTGGTCCACATCAGTGTTGGAGCGGAGCAAGGCTGGATTGACAGTGAAGGGCGAGGGGCAGAGGTGGCGACTGGGGAGGTGCCCGTTTCGCCCCTTGGAGTAGCGGCAACGTATGTACTGGGAGAAGGCGTGGCGGTAAGTCTTGTTGAAGAGGGTGTACACCAGCGGATTGACCCCCGACGATATGTAGCCCACCCACACAAAGACGTTCAGTAGCTCCTTCAGAAGATCATCATTGCAGATCCCATGGCACAGGACGCTGGCCACGTTGATGATGAAGAACGGGCACCACATCACCAGGAAGAGGAAGAAGACCACGCCCAGGACCTTGGAGGCCCGCCTCTCGTTCTTGATGGCCTGCATCATGCCCCGTTCTCTGGCCGGGTCCTGGCTGCCCGGCAAGTCGAGCTGCGGCGGGGCGTTGGAGTTGGCGATGATGGATACGCTCTCGCAAGCTGTGCTTCCGTGGGACAGCTTTCCCCTCAGGCAGAACAGGGCGCCGCGCTTGGGCCGGGCCCCCGTGGGGTGCGGGGAGGGTCCGGTCCGGCCCGCATTCAGGAAGTCGCTTGCCTGGCGCTGTAGCGTCCGCACGGTCAGGCAGTAGGTAACCACCATGATGACCAGCGGGACGAAGAAGGCCACGAAGGAGCCCACTAGGACGAAGCGGCCCTCATTGAGCACGCAGCTGCCGTTCACTAGCACCTTGTCCTCGTTGAGAAGCCCAATGACAGGGATTGGCATGGAGATCACTGTGCAAGAAGAGACATTACCGAGGAAAGGGTCAGAGGAGGCAGGGGCGATGGAGAACCACCAAGGCAGGAAGGCCTGGTGAAAACCTTCTCCGCTTATAACCTTTGGTGGTTTCTTTGACCAAACTGCAGATTATTTACAGTACAGATAAATAAGCACAGTGACAGAAACACGATCCAGAGGATCAGTCCCTAATAGGAAAGACTAAACTGAGATGTCAGTGCTGACTTTTCATAGTGCAACAACCTACAACATCTGAGTGCTCTCACTGTCACTTCCGATCAAACACTCTCTAAGGTAAATCTTTTGTAAAACCCTCCCAGGAGGCCGAGGGGCAGCCCAGAGAACTTGTCTTCCTTATGGCAGTTCACTCAAGTGGTAGATATGAGAAAGACAGGCAGCCACTGTGCTGGATCCACAGTAACAAGGAGAACACAGCTGGACTTCACACTTCGAAAGCAGGATCCAAAACTGATTCATTATATCCATTTCCCTCTGTGGGTATATAACTACAATTATTGGTTTTCATTCACAAAATATTTGTATTTGGAACTGGAAGTTACAGTATAGACTCACCTATACGATTATTAGGAACACCTGTTCAATTTCTCATTAATGCAATTATCTAATCAACCAATCACATGGCAGTTGCTTCAATGCATTTAGGGGTGTGGTCC